CAATGGCCTCCATCCTGAAGAGTACTGTATAGGGAATCCCAGCACTATTTGTCCTTAACCCGGTTTCCAACTTTATGGGGTCTAGTATACGAGGTTTCAAACCAGAGCAGAGCTGGCTACGAGCAGCCTGTTCTCTGGGAGAGCCTGGCAGCTGAGCTTCTATGGGAGCCCCAGAACCAAACAAAGCCCTAAAGTAAAGTAGGGGCCTTAATAAACAGAATAGGGTTTGGTGGTATACTATATTATAGTTACTAGACTTACAATAAGCAACCCCCCAAAGTAGTAAAGTAGTATAGGTAATTATTTAGGCCCCTCTATGATATCTGTAGAATAGGGGTGCCTTATTGGTTTTGGTATAGCAGACATACCTCCAAGCCATATTCTGATTCTCAAAGCCCCTAAATTATGGAAGTCCCAGACAGGGGTTCGGTCGCCTTTAAGTGTTCCGAGCGTCGTGTTTTTGATTTTCAGATTTTGCGCAACCCACGGCAGAGTTTCGACTTCGTCACCTCTGTCCTTGAGCCCCCCGAAAAACCTTTGCTTCGGAGGACTAGCCGCTGCAACGATCTTTAGCTCGATAGAGCTTCAGCTTTTGGGTTAGCCGCAGCAGGACTTGTTCACGCCTGCCAAAGGCCGAGGACGCAAAGAAGCCTTAACCCCTGTAGAAACCCTGAAACAACCCTTATATACAATCCCTTGTAGAACCCTTAAGCCTGCAGCATGAGTTGGCTCGGAGCAGTTTCGGCTTTGAATTGCCAGATGCAAGGGCGGCATGTTAAGGTTCTCCTCCTGGGAAGCGCCTTGGAATTCCCCCTGAAACCTACGAAGCCCTTTGTACAAGTTGCTGAAACAGTATAATTACACTACAAGACCCCCCCCCCCACACACAAAAAAATATTCTAGTTATTCAAGCCCGTATCATATCCTTTCACCGATTGTTTGTCGGTCGATGCTGGTGTCCACAAACAATGGACTCGGACCTCGAGGGTATCAATGCGGAAGTGCCGCAGGAGCATACGCCAATCGAGGCCAGCTTGGTATCAGGCTTTAGGCTTTATATATATATATATATATTAATAATAGGGTTTAGGTTTAGGACTTCTGCTTTTTAGGGTTGGAAGTTAAGGGTTGAGGGTTTCGTGATTAAGAGGACTGCCGCGAGCGTGGAATGCTGGGAGTGGAACACGATGCTAGTGAAACTTGTGGCACCGTTGTTTAGGCTCTAAGGTTTAAGGTTTCCACCGACTGTTTCCTTTACGGTTGCTACTTGGCAATGACGATGACTATGAAGACTATGACTATGACTATGGTTTGCGGTTAAAGTCTTCAAGATTTGCTGCGGGGGCTACTAGCAGAGCTGGTTGCCAACAAGGGCCCGGAAACAGCAACGAAGCCCATCCCTAGACCCCGGCATTGTGGGTCCATGAAGCCACCACTCCGATGGCAAAGGGCGATAACCTCGTGTGTGGTACTTAGCTTGCAGAAAATACATGAAACATTACACACACACACATATATATATATATAGATATCTTTGTTTAGTTGTATACATGGATATATGCACACACACACACACACACTCACTCACTCACGCAC